GAGCGCTTCAATCCACACAACACGTTTTTTCGTCGATCAGTAACCGTAGCTGTCTTGTGCACTGGGCCCGGATTCACAACTATTTTCCCGTAACAGGAACAAATAGATACCTATTTGTCCTTCGTGCCGTCCACATTGGCACCGTTTACCCGTTAGCACGGCAGAAAATCGGGTAACATAACATACCAGCGTGCATGAACGGAATCATGTTCAATTTCAAAAGGAAAATAAACCGAAATACGGATTGTTGTGGATTTGCTATTAGATCATGTGTTAATTTATACTAACCAGTAACAATCATACTCTAATGAATGTGTAGCGTTTTATCCACGAACTAAAATTAGGTCCACCAAAGGCTCGGCAGTGGCCTTAAACACTAGACATTGCGTTGTGTTAAAAAGTGAATTGTAAATAAATGTACATCTAATCTCAGTATGAACTCAAGATTGAACGCCTCCGTCACCAACCAAAGGGTCTGTTGTGCTGAGTTTGTGTGTATCCATTTCAAGTAATCGAATGCCGCCTGATAAAGCTGAACAAATGAGTTTTAAGTATTTTTTAGAGATTACAACAAACTTTTTTTCCTAATATTTAGTCCGTCACTGACAAACAGTTGACAGGATAGCAGTAGGACAGCTAGCAACATTGAAAACACGAGTGATATGAACAAGACGTTCTTTTTCAGCTCCTTCCTTTACGATGTACTTCCGCCGTATGCCCACGATTTTCACTTGCAGCGGACCGATACCTGTTATTGAGGCAGCACCCGCTCATAGTAACTTGAAAACACCGCTATGAACTGGCATAGCTTTTGTATTTGTCATACCTTTTTCTCGCAGTTTCATCCGCAGCTTTTCATCTAGGGCTATGCATTCGTTGAAGTTCTAGCCATTGCCGCTATTGTATCTTATACTGACTTTCCCACCATTTCATTCACAATTGAGCAAATATTCTATATCCACTTTAGTGGGGTAAATATCGTTCTTGTTCCGCGTGAAATGGGGTTTATGTCGCATCGGCCCCACCCTATGTTTTTTCACTCATCTATTGGAAGCTTTCGTCCTGTCCGAGACGAAAGCGGTCACATGACCAACGGGAGCCTACTCATCGATTTCTATACAGAATCAAGCGTTGTTGCTGTTTGAATACATTTGAAATGGCCTATCTGACTAGACATTTATTGACCCTTTGCCTGGTCAACCTTCGGCCGTCGAGAATCGTTTTGAAGTTTATAGAGACTTACGGTTCTATTGCCTCGATCCGTATTTTATCTATATATCTGAAATAGCCATAATAATCTTTTATTCCAACGGCTTATTGTTCGACTTCGCGCCGCACTTCTTACCTTAGCACTAGTGTCAATCTGGCTTGAAGATAAAATTGAAGGGGCACATTTTTTGTAGCATCGATTTTATTCTCTTCATAGCCTATCTAAGTCTCTATCCGCGAGGTTTTTAATAGGTAACTTGCCCTGAACAGCCGTTCCCTTTTCGCATACCCGAACGCACTCTTGATGGGGCATCTTCGAGCGAGACTCTGTTGAGTTTTTTTTTTAGCGGCGATTTTCGTTAAATGACGGGAAAATATGGTGCGTGAACTATTTCGACATTTTGCCCAATCCAGCCTATTTCCACCGTAACGTTTACTGGTAAATAAACTAGAGACACGGTCGCATAGCAAGCCAATTATGATGTCCACCATCGTCGTCGTTGGGGCCGAGTTGAAATTTGTGAGCCTCCACCAACGTAGTTATGTGTATTTATATTAACGTAGAGACGTAATACTATATATATATATATCCCGGCGAACTACCCTATACGTCAGCTATTTCGTATGTGTTCTTATATGTGCAAGTCCACCCGTTGCTTATTAGAAACGTAAACTGTGCAATGCCCAAAGCCTCTCTGGGTCTATATCTCTATTTCTCCCATTTACGACTGTTAGTCTATAAGCGCTACGCGTCGCGCTTCCATCATCATCCGGATCAATGAATCGCACCGAATCGCCATACGCCTCTTGATACTTCCTCTACCTATAATACTCTGTCGGCGACGAGATTGCTCGTAGCGGTGGTGTTTGTAAAGGCGATAGCTCGATTTCCATATTCCGCTAAATAACAGTCGACCAAAGATCGCCGAGCGGCTTGCTCGAAGCCCTGCGGTGACTCTAGGTGTGGTTGTGCCCCGGGCCAAACAACGTCGTTTGGCTTTCATTCGCAACCCTGATCTGTCTCGATTTACCTGTCGTTTTCCCTTGCGCTCCATGGATGGGTCTCACATTTTTGACGCGTGTATATATACTCGAGAAAAGTCGAGGCACGATTTCTTCAACGCAGCCAGATAGGGTAAAAGCGTTAGGGCTTTATACACGGATGCATATGCTAGAATTAAACGTAGACTGAGGGCCGTAGAATGCCGGTCCTCGGTGTACGCTCGCGAAAATAAAGCTGAACAAGGCGGGTCGAGTCCGCTTCAAGATGGTAAAAGTTGCAGACAAAAAGATTTGTCTGATTTTTGTCTAAGAAAATGATAGGCGATGCATGTGAAATGACGTATTCGAAGCTCGAATTAATTCGAGCGATGAGGTCGAAATTCGTAAAAAAATTGCTCTGTGAAAAAGACTAAAGACGGGCTTAGTTGTGAAGACAGATTTAGATTTATAGGTTTGGGCTAGGTGTAGATGGTCATATGGATGGAAAATGACATTGAGTCATAGGTTGAATTTTTGTCTGAGGTTTGAACGGCATACAACTATGACAGTTCACAATTTGCAGATGGATTTGTCTAAGCGATTCTAAAGTGGCTGTAAACTGCTAAAAATACGGATACAAATGTAAAAAATGCGCTCAGCATTTTTCGCCTCCAAAAAAAGGGCGACTTAAGCGGTTTCGTCTGCCCCTTACGTCTACTAACGTTAAATTCGGACTGTCGTTCGTCCGCAATGGGTAACACCCTCGACTTGGCCAATGTTTTTTTTTTCGATTATTAAAATCGACCTAAAAATTACTTTGTCTATTAAAAAACACAAGCATTCATTCATTACCCCGTGCCATATTTTCGAAATATTTTGTTATTGTTTCCTGACCTGCTCCTCTGCCGACATTCAGACAGCGATACGATAGTCATTTGCGCGTATACCACCCACAAACCTTCATGCATACCCATTTATTAAAGGGCTCGGGCATCGTAAAAATAAGCGTCTGCCCATTCACGTGACAGGACTGTCACATTTGCCCCGCTATAGCGTATTGGCTCGGTTCTGTTGCTGACATAGATTTACTACTGTTTGTTATACCGTCAGGCCGTACTCGCACTTAGATTACAGTTAGGAAATCCTGATTCTTCACCGCTATCGCTTATTCGTCCTGTCCTTTTCTTCTCACAATTTGATTCCGCTTGCCAGCAGATCGGTTTTGCCTAGTGTCTTCCGCTGACTTGCCCTATCAACTGTGCGCATGTCATCTTGCCTTCATTGATACCATCGCACCGACGTCGAGTGCCCGTAACGTTCAGCCATTGCCCGACGCATCCTACGTGCAGGCTACGTGTGTTCTCCGGGTTGTCCCACAGATCCGTTTGTTTCCAATAATGTCCGTGTGCATCGCGCGTATTTACGGCTCCGTCTCCATTGTTCCCCGTAGGAGTGAGTAGTGATCGTGCTGTTAGCTACATAGCGCACTTGAGGACAATAGACGGTCTATTGCAACTGAGCTTTTGCTATTATTTCTAGCGTAAGCTAAGCGGTAAATTGCAATTACACCTCTCTACAAATACACAGCTCTTTCAGAGTACTCTCTTCCGTACAACGCGCGAAATGTCTGCCCAACCAAGCCTCGTTTCTAACGATTCCACCGATAACTCTTGCTCCGGTCGCGAATTCCCATTCACTTCTGTTATGTTACCTGCCGACGCTGCCTCGTATGAGTGCACTTGGAGCCGCTCTTGTCGCACTGCAACAGGACCGACTGTCCCCTTCGCCAATCTCCAGTTGCCGCGTTTCTCAGCATAGTTCAGCTCAGAACAGCCGGCCAAAGCAGCAGCTCTAGCCAGTGTTCTGCCGCGTCCGCCGGCCCAGTAAGCCTGCTGCTCACTGTTCTGCAGCGCAGACTCGCACCATCCGCCGGTAGCTCTCAACAGGGTCTGTCCTTCTCTCCTTGGCTCCGCCCACCGCAGCCCCCTCAGCCAATCAGCGGCCGGCGCTCACAAAGAACCACTAAGAGCCCGATGGCGGTAACGGCGCCCAGGCGCGGTGAGACAGCGGCCTACTACCCGTGTTACGAGGGTACAGCGTCTACGCTACGGCCCGCTGCCGCTGACCCGCTATTCGGTTCGTTGTTGCTGCTGCTACCGATCCTTCGGTCCGCCGCCGCCGCCGCCGCCACCGCCGCGCCCGCCGTCGTCGGACTAGCGCGGTTAAGTTGGCAGCCAAGCAGAAGGCTCGAAGGCTAAGACTACATACACCGAGAAACGCGGAGGGCCCGCCAAGTCGTCTCTCCCGTAGCTGCGGCCGCGTGAAGAAGGAAGGGGCGACGCGCGGCGGCTGCACTCGCAGCAGCGGCAGAACAGCAGCAGACAAGACGGCGACGACGGTGGCAGTGGTAGTCGCAGAGCGTCGCAGCAACAGCAGCATCACTACGATAGCAGCTTCTAGCTAAGCTTCCAAACTGGCCAGCAAAGTCTACGACTACGACGAGGCAAAGACATCGCCAGCCTGGCCTAGCCTGGCCTGCGGACGTAGCAAGCGACTCGAAGAGTCGAACTATTGGCGACACGAACCACTATTGAGACTAGGGCAGCAACGGCGGCGACAATTGCAGCAGCTGCGGGAGCGGCTGTAGCGGTAACGGCGGCGGCGGCGGCAGCGGCGGCGGCGGCGGCGGCAGCAGCGGCGGCGAACCTCCTAAGCAGTGGCGGTGTGCGATGGTAGTGTGATACGACTGGCGGAACGGAACCGGGCGAAGCCGCTGAGCAAGCGGCTCCTCAAGCAGTGTGTTCCTTGCTCTTGCCAAGGCAAGACGGTCGCCATCTGAACGCTGACTGGGTGGCAGTGTCTTCGCGGTGGCGCTCACTAAGAGACGGGACAAGCCGAGACGAGACCCGCTAAGAAGCTATAGGGAGCGCCGCTGGCAACGAGTGGTCTTACTCGACTATACACGCATAGGGTCGCTGAAGGAAGAACGGACAGTGGCAGTACTCGAGTCGTGATGAGCCACAACTGCCGCTGCTGCTGCTGCTGCTTCAGCTGTTGAAGCTCCCATCTGTGCTTTCGTTGAAAGTGAAGTCGAAATGTCGGGTGTTGATCGAATCTCAGTGTCAACAGAGTGCCGCTGTTAATGAAGTATCAGAAAAGGAAGACGAGGAAAATAAATAAACAGGCCTAAAGAGGAAAAACCGGTGAAGATGTTGACCAGTCCGTGATACGGTAGTAGGTGAGAATATTACTGGTACTAATCTTATTACTCGTGTTGCTGTGACGAAACATTGGAGCCGCAACGTCTTTCCCCAATCAAATCGTTATTAAAGGGGTGTTTGTGTGAGCGTGTATGTGTATGTGTGTGTGTGTGGCTATCCGTATGAAGTTTATCTGGGGCGTTAATTAACGTCGAATCTTTAACACGACAACAGCAATAGCTACTGACCACTCCTCGTGTTACTTTATATGTGATATAGGCCGTGCGTGTGTCTGGACATCGAGGTTCATCAGCAGTGCAGGAGCAACAACAACGACGACAGCAACAACAGAAACAATAACAGCAGTAAAATCAATGACAAGTTTCTTAATTGCACAACAGCTTAACTTGACTCAACTCAGCAACTTAGTTGATCATAAATGTGTAGGTTAACTTCTTGTTTCTCGAACCGAAAGCTAAAGGAGTGAGTGGAACGAACCGGAAATAATAGCACGTAACTTCAAACCACACACACACACACACATACATACATACAGAGACAGTTCCCGGTTTTCATCCCTCTGTTAAGTTCTGATTCTTCATAAATTGTGTAGTGCCCTATGCCTCAAACCTACCTAAGGTAATGCCAGTTGTAGGCGGATGCCGGCGTTGCCCGTACCGCCGAAATCGCGCAAGTATAGGACCCTTATTTAGCACACTAACACGGAACGCAGCATCTTATCATCTTGAGATCGACCAATATCATCTCCATTTCGCCCAGTCCGGCTAGTGACGTTACAACGATAACCTACTCCTGCTCGATTTGTTTTCTAGCTGTCGATGTTCATGTTATCGAGGCACCAAGCGATCAGCGTGTGTATAGATGTGGATCTTGATCGTTTCGACAATTTAATATCAAGCACATGTTGAAGTGTTTGCAACGAGAGTGTGTGAGCGGAACAAGGAAAATTGACGGTTAGCTAATTAGCTGACTGGCAAAAAAAGCAAACAATCATTTTGATAAATATTGTGAATTTCCGTGAGTGCGTGTTTTCGTTGTTACGTAAAGCTGAAACAGGAGAAATTGTGTGCATCCTAATTCTGAACCGAGACGTTCACCGCAGACAACAGCCAACAGATACGGCAAGGGAATCTGACTGTCCCTGGCTTCGTTGTCATAGGTTAACTTCGTGTTGTTTCTTCTTTCCCAACTCCCCACCGCCCGTCATAGTGAAGACGTTAATGCAAAGACAAAGCAATGACGTGCGCGAACGAGTGTCGAAGCCCTCGCGTTCATCGTCACCTATACACGCCCTGACAAGTATTGTATGTAAACGTGCTATAGCCAGTACGGACAATAACCACAACAACAAAGACAGGGGACGACGACGACGACGACGACAATAACAATAACAGCAGCAGCAATATAAACACAACGAAATCGGGGACCCCCGTCACGAATTTTCTTGGGTATATCACGGTAAGCTCTGTTGGTCCCCTAAATCCATTATGATCTCTTGCTATACTTATGACCGCACTGTGCAACACCTGCAATCATCCGCCCGCTACATTTGCATCTATCGTAGAAGTTAGGCACCTGTTTAACGTTACCCCGATGGCGATTACATCATCGCCTCGGGTATTGTCTGCTGTCACCAGCTCGTTGGTTGTCCTACTCATGACGCGTATACGAGGGACCCAAGCAGAACAACTCGCTGGCAGGGAAACAGTCGACTTACTATGATGAGCCGCCGTCTACAAACAGTTTGACAATGTACAAATACGTACGAACAAAAGATCGTATTGCAATTTGTGGCCTTCCTGAAACCTAAGCCATTTGTTGTCATCGTCATCGCAAAGTCGCGCAAATCGGGAAAGAACTCATTACTGCTAGAAGTATTATACCTGTTATTGTATTATAATTTGGGTCTCTCTAGTTTTTTTTTTTCTCCTAGTTAGGCGTTTACATACAGTTGCGATAAATTTTATTTGGTTTACAAGGTGGGATCTAGGCTGCTAATCAGAGCTAAGGAAACATGGGACGGCTTTTGTATATGGCCTTTCAGCTTCTCTTAATGCTAGCAAACTACGGATTACTGGGATAAATCAGCAAGATAGAGAGGATTTACTAACGTTGTGTGCAGTCATCCACATTCACGCCACTCACGTATCTGCTTACCTAACTATCTAGCTTCCCTTTTCTAACGTACCTATATTCTCAGCGTAACGGTTCCTTGCCGAACCTCACACAATTTATATCTCGCCTGCTGTCTGACGCACCGAATGTAATCGTAACTGGTTTGTAACAGGATGCACTTATTCTTACCCTACTCACTTTTCCTGACTAAGTGATTGTTTGACCCTGTCTGAGCGGAGAGGGGTCCCGCGTGTAGGTGGATAGTATTAACTGTGAGTCTTGCGCTAGATCGGAACGATCATCAACGGCCATTACGACTACTATCAAAGACAGAAGTGGGGCTATGCAATAGTCGATATTGTTACGCGTCACTTTAAACTTAGAGTCTTAAAAAAAGCTGAATTTAGGGGGTTGCGCATTGCGTGATTAAGTAGCTGTAAATAGCGAATCCTTGTATCTATCAGCGCGTTGCCTGCCAATGTGCTGACGTGTGGTGGGATATCAGTAAATTTCTCTGAGGTTTATGCTCCACGCACGAATACGAATTTGCCTGAAATAATTGTTTATATGTGTGTGCACGTGTGAGCGGTCATCACTTCACGAAGTTGGTGTGTGAGTGTACTGTGGAGTACTTGCATTTGTACGATGCAATAGTGCTTGACGTGGACGACATCTTGTACGAGAGGGCAGTTAGAAGGGCGGTTTTCGGTTTGGAGCGTACGCAACTATGCCGATGCTGGTGATGGTGGTGATGCATTTGACCATGCGAAGAAGACAGTTATGGCCTATTGTTATTATTACGACGTTTTTCGTATTGTGTTTGATGTTTACAGGAGAGTGAGAAACGATACACGATCAGAAGTATCAATTCTATATAACAAGTACCATATGTACTGAAGCAGTCACCGACGTATTAGAAACTGAGAAATTGGTAAAAGGAGACAGCGCTGGAAGGAACGCCGCGAGTGTAGCGTGTGTTAGTGCTTTTCTGTGATGTTCCAAATCTCCTTCGCGCATGGATATTGTGCTCTGGATCCGGAGCGCGAAACAGATCGACGGCGATCGTGTTTTTTTTGACACTTTCGAAAACCTCTTTACATTACAACGTAGTTGAACAGCGTCGGCAACGACGTCGTCAACAAAACACCCGTAGGCGGCCGTTCGTCAGCATTCGGCCGCAACACTTACTGGTTTGCAGTTGTTTGCTGTTTTAGGTGCAGTAATGGCGGAATGCCTGAGCGCACCGGCCGCGATGCAGCTACCGCGAGCCACTCCACTTGATCCGGCTACCCCGGACATCAAGAAAGAGCAGGAACTGGACGAACTCACGTTAGAAGACAAGATGGTCATGTTGCAGGAGGGCGCCGGCGGAAAAGATAGCGCCACATTGCTTCGTGACATTCTCCAAAAAGAAAAACAGTTGGGGGGCCAGCAGCATAATAACAATAACGCTGGTGAACACACTGAGGACAGTGGAACAGAGAACAAACCTCCGACACCCCTGCAAAGCCCCCCGTCTTCAAATCAGAGCGATGTCGCTGGCGAGGAGGAGGAAGATGAGGAAGACGAAGACGAACGGGAAATTCGCGAAGCCCGCGAAAGTATCGAAATGAACGAGAGTCACAGCGAAAAGGATGATTTACCCGCCGAGCTGAAAGCCGTATCCGGACCCCTGAGTCCGACACCGGAAGGGCTCACAGGGGGCGGAGGTGTTGGGGGCTCTGCACCTGCTGGAAGCATCAGTGCGAACGGTGGTGCTCCAACCAACATCAACGTGAACGGCTGCAAGAAACGGAAGCTCTACCAGCCGTCGCGACAGACCGCGGTCGAAAATGGCGGTGGCGGCGAATCGCTAGTGATTAATGACGATAACGATGAGGAGGGGCTTGATGATGATGTGGTGCCGGTGAAACGATCCGAGGATCGCGAATCGCTCCGGGCGCGACTCCGCGAACAGTACGAACAACTGAACGGTGACGGGGCGCATCTCGGCGGTGGCTCAGCGGGTCTTGAACGCAACGCCGATCTCGAGCGGCTTGTCGCGGTGCTCAAGAGCGAGATTACGCACACGTTGACGCAGGTGATCGACAATATCGTCTCGCGATTCGTGCCCCGTCTAACGCACCCCGACCATTCACTTCTCCCGCCTGACATCGTCAGTAACAATAGCAGCAGTGGCAAATTGGAGCTACGCGCAGGATCTACCAGCAACCACCACCATCTGGCGACTGGAGCAACCTCAGGAGTTCCCCATCATCATCAGCATCATACCTTGTCCTCGCAGCAGGCAACGCTTCAGTCGCTGTCGCGGCACGATCTGCAGTCGTCGCTTCGGGACCGAACGTCCTCACCCCCGTCGACGATTTCGGCGGCAGCGGCCGCGTCTCTCGGCTTGCGGGGTCCCAACCCTCCGTCGACCTTCGACCTTTCGCGGCCCGAATCGTTCCTAGCGCTGACTAGCGGCTCCGCTAGTGCACTGGTCAGTCAGCGCGACCTGTTCGCCCAAATGTTGGACCGTAAGGCTAAGAGTAAGGTGATCGACAGAGGAGGTAGGACACCCCGCAACGAGCTGCAGAACATTACCGCGTCGTCGAAGCCGATGTTCGCCAACGTCCTCGCCAGCGTCAAGACATCGACCCCGAACGTGTCGCCAGGCTCAGCAGTGGTAGCGACATCGTTGCCGTCCCTCAAAAGGAGTGATACCCCACCGTACGGCGACGGAGATCAATCACCCCCACCGGCAAGCGGGGGCACAGGCAGCAGCGGTGGCGCCGAGCAGACCGAGGCCATGTCCCTCGTCGTCACACCCGGAAAGAAGAAGAGGCACAAGGTCACGGATACGAGACTCGCGCCCCGCCGCTCCGACTCACCGAAGGGGTTCAGTTTGGGCGGGAGTGGAGGAGGCAGTGGTGCTGGGGGTGATTCGCCCGCAAGCTCCCTGCTGCCCGCTAGCCTGTCCGCAATGTCCGCAGCGTATCCACCACCTCTTATCCCGGTCTCGCTACCCACCAGCGTCGCTATCCCCAATCCGTCCCTACACCACGAACTCTTCCTGTCCCAGCTCGAGCATCAGCAAAGGCTGTCAGCGCCATTTTCGTCGGCATCGGCGGCTACCGGGGGTAACCATCCAGCGGAGGCGTCGTCCGCAGGGTCAGAGTTGCGAGCGACACCTGAGCCACGCGCCACTCCCACAACCCCCGCCGTTGTTCAACCTCCAACCACCCCTAACCTGCCTCCGGCAGGGCAGTGTGCGACAGCTTCGTCACAGCGGTCGGTATCCCAGTTGACTGCGGCGTCATCACCTGCCGACGCGTTCGGCTTGTATCTACAGCGTGCCGGACTTAACAAGTCACACCAGGACACCCCGTCTGTGTCGGACCGCGATACGCTGTCGGAGGGAGCCAATGAGCCGGCAAGCACGACGGCCGCTCAACTACCCACCCCGTACGATGTGATGAATATCTTCAAGTAAGTAAACATTTTTTTGGTAGATTTTGTAGAACATCATACGGTGCTTTTACTCCGGTCCAAAACATCTATCGTCCTTTTGTCATCATGGTTCTTTCTTGTTATTCATACGATAGTAATCGGACTAAAGCGACGTGATGAGTTATGCCAAATAAGCTAAAAGGTTCAATTCGCAGACATCCAGTTCCCGTTGTCGATTTGTCTGTCAGTTACGGTTGCCTTTGGAGTGATTATGCCGGTTAGATTCCTGTTTCGGCTAAGTGGTCGACATCGCAAACGATCGGGCAGTTATCACTAATAGCATGTGGCCAGTAAGAAATAAGCAACATCGATAACAGCCAAAGCATAGTGTAGAAACCGGGCGAGAGAAAGTGCTAGGAAACAAGGATTCTATCGAGAAGACGACAGGGTATCGACATAAAAAGAGGAGGGAGTATGTGATAACGTGCGGGTACAGGCCGGGACTGGCCAGCCGACCGTCAGTCGGCCCTAGACATTGTTTCTTTTCCCAATAAACAAGCACTTATTGATCCACAGAGACGAAACACTCTACTGATGCTGTGTAAGGCATATACCGATTTTGGCCATGCCTCTTCCTCGGCCATATAGCCGCCGTGCTATCGGATCGATAGATCCGTTAGCCTGTACGAGTGAATCCGAATAGGCGTTAGGCGGGCACCAGCAGTTACTCTTTCTAGCCACTGGCCGGACTTTCTCTTCGGAGTAGTAAACATCGATAGTTCGTCGTAGTTTTACCTCTGTTGTAAGCGTTACGGCTACAACAAATTCTGTCAGTATGATATCGCGATATGTGATAGCAAGTACACCGACAAAAGGAGCTAATTCTTATTCCACAACATAGCTTGTGCGTTCTCAGGATCATCAAGCCCAGGATATATCTCTTTTCTAATGTCCACCGGCAGCAGCGCCGCCGCAGTAAAGAATACTTTTCTATCGCACTCGCTGAATCTATCGTCTCACTCTTCTGCTTGATCGCTTCGTGTCTGCAGCTTTCGTCCACCATCGAAATTCTCCATTGACAAAGACGACAAAGTCTATTGGCAGCTGATCAGTAGCCCCGTCATTGTTGTTGATGGTCATCTCGACCAACACGAGGATGCTATGAGGATTTACCTAGAGTTACACACTAGGCTTACGGGTAGAGGCAAGGTTTGCCTCGTTCACGGGGCTCGGTGTTTACTATGATCTGTCGCTCTTCTTTTTGTTTTTTCCTATCGACGTCGCAACCTGCGGCCGTTATCGTGATCGTACTTACACTAGAGAAGGCCCACGCAGCTAGGCTAGCCGAACAATACAGGAGAACGCCTCCTCGAGTTAGCTAAAGAAGGACGAATCCTTGCGGATCTGTCGTGGGCATGGGTGAATGTGCGTATTCGATAAAACAGCACGAGTCCGCCTGCTTGTCCGCCAGTGTTCTAGTTGACAGCAGATGTCCTCCTGACTCATCCTTCGATGGTTGGGCCCGCCTCACCGCCGCGCCTAGAAGTGTCCCCGCGTGCCAAGCAACCAGCCTCTGTTTTGAGACAGCCAGCCCGACTAGGAGTCAAGCAAGAATATCGCTACCTAGTTCAGCGCTCTACCTCGTTGCTTGCCTCTTTAACATTTGCTGTTCTTTACTCTTTGTCCTCAACGATGACGACGATCATCATGAGCTGTGTGGCAGAGCAGCAGTCCAAGGAACGGCGCCTTGAAGCCTGAAGCGCCTCGCCTTGTCGATGTCGTCCACTGCTCCGGCTGCTGCCTCTGCTACTGGCAAATGGCTTCTCGACCGATTTTATTCAAACTGTTTGGGCAAGGACCCATTGCGGGTGGAAGGGGCTTAGCTGGGAACAAAAGAACTTGAACGAGAATAGTCTATAAGGGTTAGCTTCTATGGGCGCTTGCTAACGGAGGGGTGGGCGACCTAGGCTTTGCGGGCGGGCCTTCGGCTATCTTGAGATTCCATGAAAGACAATTAGCACAAGATGTGTACTAGGTAGGGTTTGCTTTGGTTTTGTGAGGAAGGTGGATTCGAATCTGTACCGGTTATAGGACATGTAGTGAATTTTTACGATATGTTGTATTTTGTACTGGATTTCACAGCAATTCATGCTCGTGGACTATATGGTAGCCTGATTGGCCATCACTACGTATGATTTGAAGTCGTCTCAGCGTTAGCTTAATTATAAGCTAGTGCCATTCTCGAGGTAGATGCTTTTGTAAGCAGTTTTGCACGGTGTTGTGACAACAGTGAGTTGAGCGTCCTTACCTTGCGAGCGGATTTACCTGTGAACTAACTACCACGTTTCGTCAATACGTTCTTTGGATTTAACGTAACACGCAATACCGATTGGGTCGTGTGCGCCATTAGGTAGGATATTCTCTCGCTCCATTTTCTCATTATTGCACATTGACTCGTTGTCATGATCAACAACCAAGTTGTCGTGACCTACAACGGCGAACCGAATTGCAGTCACAGATTCAACCTCATTGATACCTTTGTGACGCGCCGCCCAGGTCGATCTTGCCAAAGTATATGAATAGAGCATCGCCATCCACTCACTAACCTGTCTAAACCATTACTACGACGCTTTTGTACAACAGCAAATTGCTTGTTTAGGAGTCACACATTGAGGAAAGCATCGTTGTCGTTATTATTTAGAGGCGCCAGGACAGATCCATCGAATCTCTCTTAGCGATGATCCGAATTGTTCGTCCAGTTCACGTTTGTGACTCTGCGTTCATAACCAAAACACACATACACGAGATCTGTTCCCTCGTTTCCAAAAACGGCCTGTTTTCGCACGAAAACCATTCGGTCTCGTGCAGAACCCCGTTCTGCTGTTGCCTCCTCTACCAACAGTTGAACTATCAGTGTGAGTTCAACAGCAGCTTGAATAGTAGTTGAAGCCTCAGCAATTGTCAGCGCTAGCCAAAGATCCAGCCAACACTCTGTCCAAAGACAGTATAAACCAGCCGCAGAGCACTGAAGTGCCGAAGCACCAAAGGAGCTATTCTCTTCGAGGTTTCGATGTCCTCCAGGTGTTCCCCCCTGTTGTGCTGCGTCCGCTTGTGCTGTCCTATCCTATCCAATGCGTTCAATCAAGGCTCTTTGGCCTTCTCTAGCCTTCTTTACCTTCCTCAAGCAAAGCTTTCGTCGTTCTGAGTTTCTCTTCTTGTGAAGTTGTAGGTTTTGTTGAGTTAAATTGCCAGCCATACTTTTGCTCTGTCTCTCTGCTGGCCGTTACTCCTCAGATCGACTTACTTATTGTCATAGTAGTAGTCATAGGCCGATTTTGTTGCTCGTACTACTTCATACAAGGTGTACTGACGCGTAGAGACCAGGCGAACTCAACTGCTTCTTTTGCCAGCCAGTTGTTCTCATTCTCGTTGGGCGACTCCTCCAACATCGACGACTAATATTATACTTCTTCCAACCGCTCAAATTTGAAGTTTCAGGATATACTTGCATCCGGTTCTATATGGCCAACTTGCCTGGCCTTGCATAGGATTGCTGCCGTAACCGTAACTAGACGTCTACCTATTTAATGTTACCAAACAATCACTGCCAATTCTTTGACTATCATTTTGACTATGGGATTGTAAGCAGTGGCGGGGTTGCTAAGCCAAGTTTCGTGAAGTATCTATATTTTTTACTTTTATATTTGATTGGCAATTGAGCCACGAGTTTGTGCCGAATAGAGCGCCGATGAGAACACCCAGAAAAACATGTTCCTTATTCCACTTTTACTTTTTCCTTTTGCCTTCGTTTCACTACAACGGCTTATTTATCAAAAGTGAATTCCACTACGATTATATTGCTTTCGCTTTATATCGGTACTCATTAACTACTCTTTGGAAGTGATGCCCAATCCTCAATCCATTGTTATCATCCACCGAGTACGCTTCAGCAGGTATTTTCCTCTTCGCCATTGAGCAATACGTTCCATTGTCCAGTTTGTGATAGCGTAGATTTTTCTGAAGAACAACAAGTATAACTTATCCACGAAGCAAAGCAGAGGCTAAAACGCGACAAAGATAGAGATCAAGTAGTCAGCGACTCAGACAGACGAACAGCTCCGACGCGTATGTGGTCCAAATGCAGAACTTCGCTTGGATCGCAGCTGGTCACACAACGACAGAATCAACAAGATGTCGATGACTGAGACCGTGATAGCTTCGTGCGCCTGCTACGCCGCGGCAGCAGGGTAACATGATTGCTTTGGTTGGTCGACCACTACGGCGGGTCGACATCAACGAAATAACCCAACTGTTAATGCCACAGCCTAAGGAGAAGGTAGACAGGAAATTCTCTCCGTCTTTGATCTTTTATTTTTATCCTCTTTGGCCCAGTTGAATTGAACGGAACACGTTGATTTAGGTGACACTGTTCATCTAGACGAGACCAGTCAGTCGTGCAAAAAATAAACATCTAGCAGATGGATTCACGAGTGAGGACTGTGAAGAGCGGGTACGAATGGAAGATGAGGAGACCATCTTATTCGATTGGCGTTGTTATTACTACTAGTGTCATTACAGGATACATTGTTCAATACAGAAACTCGTTGGGGATTTGTTGCTGGTGACGATGACTGGGCTATATAACAAAAATATTGCGTGATAATTGCTTATTTGCTTAACAATGTACTGTTTTCTATCGATGGCTTTTTAGGTACTTCAACAGTACAGCTACAACCAGTGCGCTAAGCGCATTAGGAGGAAATAGTGGACCGTTCTGTCCACGAACAACAACCCCCGGAGGCGGCAGTCATGAGGGGAGTGCTACTCCAGGTACGAGGTGTCAGTTATTATCACTAATTCTTATTCTCATAGGGCAGTATCTTGCTAGTTACGTGGACGTCGTCGTTTGTCTTCGCGCACAGTTTATATCCGCTAGTACAGAAAAACTTCAGTGACAGAAGCATTTTGCTGCTGACTTAACGAAGACAAGATAAAAAGGAATTAGGTTTTCCTCACTTCGCAGATATAAGAGTGAAGCCTATTAGCTAATGCTAAATTCTGCGTATTCGCAACTTTGCAGCGTCGGAGACATCTTCATACAGTAAAAATGGAAGCCTTGGAGGGTCAGGGTACACGTCGACATTGACACCCATGCATCTCCGAAAGGCTAAACTTATGTTCTTTTATGTCAGGTACCCCAGCTCCGCTATCCTTAAAATGTATTTCCCCGACATCAATTTCAACAAGAACAACACTGCCCAGCTCGTTAAGTGGTTCTCCAACTTTAGGTGAGTGCGCACTCTTTCAACATATTTTACTGTCTAGTTCTGTCCACAGGCTTAGTCCGAATAGGGATAGTTCTCAAATCAAAAATCCTGCAGTCATTAAACTAGAACTAAGCTACTATATTTGTGGGCTTGCAACCCATAAATCAGGTTTCCCAATAACTGTAATTTTAAGCCGCTAAGCTAATCACAATATAATATTATATAAAAATAGCAAAAAAATTCAAACAATTTTTTCTTTAACTTGAATATATCCGCTCCTCTGACCAGCTCGTTATTATTCTTAGCATTTTTTCGTCATTTTCGACTAGCTCCCAGAGAAGCATGACGTTAGCTCGAACAATTTTTACTCACAAAAGGACAATGAGTTTAAATTATTAAGGATTAATTTTGTCATCATAAACTCTCGTCCCGTTCATTGGCGAGTGATGACGCGTCAGATCGCTATGATAACGATGGTCATAACGTTATAAGGCGCAAAACTACGCTCTCACTGATTCTGTTTAACCGGCTGTGCTGACTAGGTCCACTCGTTCCGTCCATACGAATGGCGGCAAGCGATGTTTGGCACCTTATTACGGTTGTCCTAAGTAATCTGTTCAGAATACCTACAAGATGTCATATAGGCGGCGTTGGCCGCGGTAATGTTGCTACGCTACGGTGTTGCTATGTGACCTGCCAAGCCACAGGCCGACTGTGGCGTAGTGAGCAACATCTAAGGACGGGTTATTTAAAGCCTGCTTAGGAGCAATGACGTGCAAGGGCTTGTTCAACATTTTGCCAAAATGCGCGATGTTAGATAGGCATAAGCGCAAGCCAGAACGTATTCAGGCATTGAATACAAAAAATCTCTTCACATTATGTCTTTCGACTGATGACTAAAAAGGCAAGTAGTCATCTATGGCGGTAACACGTACACAGCTATAGTAACCACTCTGAACCGTAGTTGCTACCAATTATTATGATCTGATCGGTCCGTTATCTATATAGATATTTGAACATTGAGTTATCCGATCAGGAAGCGATGCCACATTACCCCTGGCAAGCCTATTTGTAAGGATTCGATGCGAATGACGACACTGCTTATCCTTGCGCTTCGTCCCTATAGGATTACATTTAAGTAAATGTTGCGCTTAGTAAAATACAGTCGGTGCTATACTACACGAGGAGCACACACTTGGAGTAGGCAATATGCACGATGCTCTAACAAGACCCTATCGTTGTTTTATGTGGTTCAGCCAGTCCTTCGTACTGCGGAGACCGCAGATACAAACCTGGCCACGCGAGCCTTGAAGGCTCTGCTTTTGCGTCATTTATCTCGTCCTGATTTGTCATTGATATTTCTCAATATAGCTGATTCGAACATTAGATAGATCTGCGAATCCTGAATAGTAACGAGTGCCTTGCGGTGGACTAGTTTATGCAATTTCTATCACCATATCCCTGACGCATGTGTATGTGTACTCACTGGGGATTATAGGAGTCAGACAACGGCAAGACATGCTTTTCGAAATTGTCCTAATCAGGCATGCAGGTTCTGCTTTAAAGTGTGAAATCCATTACGAAGCCTAGTAGGTTCATAACAGGGAAAAAGAACATAGTGCTATGGCTTTAAGTTGCCAGGGTCATTAGGCTGTTATGACATTCCTTCTACACCTCTTCACCATTGAAAGGGTCATCTCGATCTTTTCAAACACGAATCGACCCACACAGAATGTCATGTGGTCTCTCGGGGGCGATGACATGCGGAATCGGTGTTGTCAGTGTTAGCCTTATCGGTTTCGGCTGCTAACCCGTCGAATAGGTCTCAATAGGTGAGTCCTAGTACGCAACTCTAGATCGAATTGATGTTAACGGAGCACCAGCTGACTGGCCGATAAAAAGACACCTGCGGATTATTCGAGTTTATTGATTTCTCAGTGCCACATAAGCTATAAACAAATCTAAAATACAACGTATTTTGGACACAATTTTTAACAAAGTGTGTGTGTTTTTTTGTGATCATTTGGTAAAGATCGTCCAAGCAGCTAATGCAAAACTCTGCGCCGCAACGATTAGATTGAATTCAGTGTTATCTTTCTCAGCTGTATGTAAGTTCGAACTAAACATCTGCCAAAATATAGTTGTATCTACTATATCTAAATCTCACAGCAGAGGGTCACAACAACGAACACAGTACCGTATGATTAATCGGGGCCTATTGGGACGCAAACAAGGTATTCCTTTCCCGTATTTTTTTTACACGACCAAAAAAACAACAGAGATCAAGTGATCTCCACATAAACTGTTGTTCTTTCTAGAGCTTATTGACTTTTTACTTGCTGTAATACTCCTGGATATAAAGTGTCGACTCAATTAACTAGCCAGAGTGGCTTCACAGAGGATTTGACAAAGCTCAGCCGCGGTATAATCATAGGCCGGTGTCCTACGATCAAAATCAATGGTATTCACCAATCCAATGTCGAATCGCACCGGCCACAACGTCGATGTGGTTAGCCTTAAGCGTTCGGCCTTTCACCTCCTCTCCGCAGTAATCTTTCGCACGTTGTCCTACTGTCACAACAAGCCATAATGGCGGTTTCGCCGGTGTTACACATGTGCGTTTAACCGGCACGGCGGAAATGCAGGCGTCAAATATAATAAACGGACAAATGCGTTTGTCATATCCTTCCAGTTAAATATACATAGTGGCATCGGTGAAATAGCTATAATTAATTAATATACACATGTTAATAGTATTAATTGTATAGTTTTTGTAGGGGTGCCCCTGCCAAAGTTGGAGTGGTATTGAACATCTTTTACATATATCGATAGTTGAATATGACACAACTTACCGTCTAGAAAAACTCGATGTCTCTTGGTTCATCAATGTCTCAGAGTTCAAAACTTAATTAGGAGCACGTAGGTTATCAGGTCGCTGTCTAGGTTTAACCAGTGTATAAGCATCCTCATAGAACAGCTCCAATCCATTTGCGAAACGCTCGGCTGTCATTAGTAGTAACGAAGCAATTGCTGACCGATTTTATGTAGGCCAAATTCATACGTACTGTACTTTTGGACATCGTTGGCCTTCTGGAATGGGACTTGGCTATCTCGCCTAACAAGGTAGTACCATAGGTAGCATGACGCACTTCGGCTTCGGTCAACCTGAAAGCATCTATTTTTCCATTGTTACCGCTACTGTTTAGCATAGTACGTTCACACGTACGGAACTTAGATTTGTTAATTATCCGATGTCCGACGTCCAAAGTTTTCAAGCGATTACAAAACCAAGTGTTATCCAATGGCTGGTAACAGTGGTCAGGACCAGTGCATACGCAACTGTTGTTGGACGGTGCCACTCAGGATTCCATAATTAGTAATCGAAAATGCCTTCGCTGCGGCTCGGCCGGTTGATTGAGTAGGTCTGAGTAGCATTCAAAAGTTTTCCAGAGACTTGCGGGTCTCAACGGAACGCAAGGACACAAACCTGGAAGTAGCCCTTTTTCTAATTGCCTTCCCATTGCCTATCGAACGAACTCCAAACAGGAGCCGTTAATACCGATCACGACGGTGCCGCGCCTCTCGTCGAACCCTACCAAAATGCTACCTACAGTGCACACTCTTACTACATTTACTTTTAGACACAGTAAGGATCGCCAGGTTTGATGCCTTGTCGCCACCTGCATCGACGCGGTCCCTACCAAAGAATCAAGAAACACGGAGTGATAAGGGAAGGATTAGATAGTGTTGGCGTTTTCGTTCAGCCGTCCAAGCCCTCAATCAAGGCCCTTTCCGAATGTGTTTATCAGTCGGTCCTGGCTTTATTCGCTTACCACTGCAGCTGTCCTCGTTGCCTCTGCCGCTACTTCGACTAGTTCTCTATGAAGCGGAAAATTTCTCCTGGATACTTTCCCGTCGCCGATGGTTCCCTTTGTCTCTGGGTTTCGCGCACTCTACACTCAACTCTCGTTTTGGCTCTCAGTACCTACCGACGGCCGGGAGCTCGACTCAGGACGGCAGCAGCTCGTCCGTTGGCGATGCTGTACGGACTATAATACAGATCAGTGCTGGCGCATCAGATGCCGCACAGCGCTTAACGACAAGGTGACGTTGAATATCCTCAGCACCCGGCATCCGTTAGGAGCTGAGGTTCGCTATTTTTCTCGCTCTCTTTCGCAAGCTTCGCTGGAGGAATTTCAGAACAAATCGGAACGTTCAATGCCTTTGCGCGCGTCGGTCCGGGTCGACTCGGGGGGGGGATGATTGCAATATTGGTAGTGGCACTGATAATTCCCGGCGAGCTTTCTTAAACACGAATACCGAGCATTTGCATAAATTGCGAAGCTGCCGCTGCTGCCATCGGAGGACTGTATAACAGACGAAGTTATAGCGACCGTGGGGGCATAACAGGCAAAGGTTCGGTTTGGAGGCTGCTGTTTCCAACAGTGAAATGCATTTAATTCCAAGTGAGTAATACGTCGATATACTTATTCCCATGGGTGTATGTACACATGTATTATATATGGTTAATTTTGCTGATGCAGACGGCGAATTCTGAAGCAATTTAAGATGTTTCCTCATATCCGGCAGAACAAATGCGAGGGAAGACTTAGAATCGAGAAGAATCTGCCAACATCCTGAATCAACTCGACCCAGCTGGGCTCAAGAGGTCCACCAGGCCTTTTTCGAGATGCGTATCTCACCTTTAACTCCAATCATATAACAACTACTAGAACGAAAAACATCAGATATTTTATAAGCACCAATACCGCCGTCAGCTATTTTGTTGTTACGAAATCTAATACCTTCTACGTAGAGTACCGCTATCTAAGAATTTACTTTCAAATCGGGGGTGCGCCGTGAATATTGCAAGTGAAGCCCCTAGAGCAGCGTCCTCAGTGACCTATAAACAGATTCAATTGCGCGTTAACCAGATGGTCGCTGTCATTGGCACAGTCAACGGGATGGAACGGGATCTCGTTTTTTGGCTTGACATCTAATACGAAATCTGTTTTTTCGCT